GTGTGTAAGCGAAATGCATATAGGCTACTATTATAAGTCAATTAACCGTTTAACATTTACTACTACATTCTATTACAGTGTATTTATTAGAAAAAAATCAACATTTTCATTTTTTTTGTATTAAAGGTCTTAAGTTAGCCTACACGAATACAACAAGCAACTGATCAACAGAGCACTTTTATAATACATCTACTGAAAAATAAATTACCTTAAAACTATTAGACTAGGTCCCTACTTGCTTTTTTTCTCGTAGAAAATGTGCTGAAAGTGAAAGCCTGAAAGCTGAGGACTAGACCAGAATGAGGGGCTGATTTAAAGATTTTTGTTTTTAATGTCTAAAATATAAAAGGTAGCTCCTTTCGAGGAGAGACTGAGGGGGAGAGGAACGTGAAATGGCTTGGAGGTATAAAAAGCGTTGCTTGAAACACTCAAAGCGTTTCTGAACTTTTTCTGATTTTATGTGTCCTGCAGCGAGTCACCACCAGCAACCCTGTGAAACTTCCTCAATAGCAAGAATTTTTGTCGCCGTGAAAAAAAAAATCTTAGGGATATTATAATTACCACCATATTTATTTATCTCTTATTTTTGGGTTCTACATTCTATAGTGCGATTTATGTGTTATACCATTTTACGGCTTCACTCTAAAAAGTGATTTCATTAAAAGAAAAATTACGGACGCATATGTGTTCATGTAGAATACTATTAGATAGATAGATAGATAGATAGATAGATAGATAGATAGATAGATATTTACAAATGATCTTAATTTCCAATAAATAAAAATTTCACCAAGTCGCTTTTGCCATTTTTCTGATCTTCTTAGCTTTTTAAGAGGCTCGGCGAAAGTGTATTTTGAGAAATTAATTGTCAAGCAACTCCTGAAAGTTTATGTAACTTTGGGAACAGCTGACGTGCTAAGCAAGGGAAATAAACAAGCCTTTCTTACTCAACCGAAATAAAGTCCCGTTGCTTTACCTGCAAATAATGCCCAACAGCATCCAATCAAATCTACTCACTGAAAGTAACTGCCATTTTCAATATTAAACCATGCCAATCAACGAACACGCAGCCAATTAGCACCCTTCCTAGCGGTCACGTGACTATGAAAGCGCTGTGCTTTCATTGGACAGTGTAGAGCTGCCTCCCGAGCTCATTTATGTGCAAGGAGTGAGTGATTGACTTTATCAGTCCAAGGACATCATTCGCCTGGAAAGGGGGGGAAGTTTGATCCTCTTTCTCACGGATCCCAGTTACGGGAGTTTTCCTCCCGTTTACGGAGACCCGGGATTATCATTTCGTTTTTCAATTCAAGATTTCTTTATTGAAGCTTACGTGAAATTGTGCTCAGTTTACCGTTACCCACTTCACTCCACTAAACTGGGGTTTCTCATATTTTTTTTTTCACTTGCTTTTTCTCGATTGAGCCCAATGACTATGCTCCTTGATAGCGCTCCTCAGTTCCCTTCACTAGGAGTAGGGGGGTTCGGAACGCATAGACACCATGAGTTGGGAAACCGAGACCCCGGGCTGGGGCTCAGTCCCTTCGCAGATTCATCTCACTCGGCTGCCTTCAAGATAAGTCCCGTTACTCACGATATCGCCTCCAGCCAGTCATCGGCGTTCACCCAGCAAGCTACTGGATACGCAGCCGCGCTCGGTCACCACCACGGAGGACAAGTTGGTTCTTACGCCGGTGGAGCATTCAATTCGACCAGGGACTTTCTCTTCAGAAACAGGGGCGCATGCATCGGAGAGACCGCACCGCCGAGTGCCCAGCATGGAATCTTTGCCACTTCTGCGGGGAGTCTACACGGGCCCCCCGGAATTTCGGACAACCCGGGACATCTGTTGTTTCCTGGACTTCACGACCAGAGCGTGAGCCACACTTCACCGGGAGGACATGTTGTAAACAGTCAAATGCACCTGGGTTTACGCGGGGACATTTTTGGCCGTCCAGATCCGTACCGACCTGTGGCAAGCCCTCGTACGGACCCTTACGGCACCGCTCAGCTCCATAACTACAGCCATCCCATCAATATGAACATGGGGATGAACGTACCCACACACCACGGTCCGGGGGCCTTCTTCAGATACATGCGGCAACCTATTAAGCAAGAATTGTATTGTAAGTGGATAGAAGAGAATCAGATGAACAGACCTAAAAAGACTTGTGACAGAACTTTCAGCACAATGCATGAAATGGTGACACATGTTTCAATCGAACACGTTGGCGGGCCAGAACAGAGTAATCATATTTGCTTCTGGGAGGATTGCCCGAGAGAGCGGAAATCCTTTAAGGCCAAATACAAACTCGTGAACCACATCCGAGTGCACACGGGAGAGAAACCGTTCCCTTGTCCGTTCCCTGGTTGTGGGAAAATCTTTGCAAGATCAGAAAATCTTAAAATTCACAAAAGAACTCACACAGGTAAGGCATTCGTATTTTCCCCTTTTTTGATTACCCACTGGTTTTGGAAAAATAAATATTAATTTAATGATATTCCAGCGGGGTTATTTATACGCAAATTGCAGTTCTTTTAAAAATGTCAATAAACAAGTGCATTTTCTTTTAAATTAATTTAAAAGTAAATGTAATAAAGAGGAAACCATGCAGGAAAATCGCCACAACTACTTTAACTACACTTTAGGTTTGGGGAAATTAAATACATTTCTCAAATGTTTGGGAAGATTAATTTATTATGATCACATGACTGTTATTAAGAAATTTAGTTTCTTTTACTTTTTCTGTAGAGCAAAATATGTTTTTGTTTAAATGTATATATTGCATCTCTTTAAAGAGATGAATAACACAGAAACATTTAAATGCAAAGCTGCATGCGTTGTTGTGGAGCGGATTTGTGAATGGACTGTCCTCTTGCATTTGTGAAGCTATTCCTGATGATTGTGGCTATAAAGTTATAGAAATAGCATGGGATTTGTGTATTATGGATGTATGAATAAAATGCTACACATTGGTCTGGGAAAGTATGAAGTAGTCGAAGTGCATTTAGTCTGATGGCTGGATTTGTGCCTAAATAATTGACCCCTTTGAGATCCACATGAAATGTAAAGCAAGCTGTTGAACAGTCTATATTGTTACACTTGGCAGACAAGAAACGTGTGCAAAAATTGTTCAACAATTGCTACACAGTTTACACGACAATGCATGGCGTGTTGGTTTGCTAAAACGTATATAAAGATTCTTGGGAAGTAAAATAAAGGATAACAGCAAAGACCTCTCAAAGAGCGTGATATGTGGGCAACCAAACCATCTAGTGTGAGCGCAACATGGCCTGTTCATTTCGAAAGGCGTATTACATAACTGAAAGTTGTACTGCACATCCGCTCTATTAAAAAAAGTTATATTACTAAAACTTCAGTGTTTGCTCTCACTTGCAGGTGAGAAGCCATTTAAATGCGATTTCGACGGCTGCGACAGGCGCTTTGCGAACAGCAGCGACAGGAAAAAGCACATGCACGTGCACACATCTGACAAGCCATATATCTGCAAAGTGTGTGACAAGTCCTATACACACCCCAGCTCTCTCAGGAAACACATGAAGGTAAGGGACATTTTCTGATTTTGCAATCACGCAAATAAATATATATAAAAAAATGTTGTAGCTAACCCCTTAGATAAACGTACTATGCATTATACGGACAATGCGTTTACATTCATTTTAAGCAGGCCTGATATTGTTCTGTATTTTGGTTCACTATGTATAACAGAGATCAGAAATCCTAGACATAGCATAAAGTTTAACCGTGTACAAGCGTGTTATTTCCTCGTCCTGTCTGTATGTCATACATCTATTTACGTTATAATTTAAGGTACACGAATCACAAGGCTCAGAGTCGTCTCCAGCTGCTAGCTCTGGATACGAGTCCTCCACGCCGCCAGTGCTGGTTTCTGCGAACAGTGAAGACCCGACAAAAACACCCACGTCTGCAGTGCAAAATGCATCTGCACACAGCGATGGACTACCGCCTAATTTTAACGAATGGTACGTTTGAAGCTCCAAGCAGACTCTCAAATGGTGGACCAAAAGGTTGAAGTAACCTTTTAAAAAAACTATTTACGCCATGGCGTTCAAAATGGCATTGAAATAACAGGAAAAGATGAGAGTTCGCCAGCAGGCCTCGTCCATTCTCAGGATTCGAAATTTGACTTTATTCCGGGTTCGAAGAAAACTATCAAGACATAAAATAACAAAATAACACTTTGTAAGAATAAACGGTTTTCTCCTTTAGTTTTCAGATTTCAGATGATTATTTTATTTTTCATTTTATGTATTTTCTGAAAAAAAAAAAAAGTTAAAAATAATGGCAAAGAAATAATATTTCACGGTGTTTTATATTAAGGTGACACTCGCATCACCTTTTAGTTGATTGTTAAAACTTCAGACAGTCTTAAGAAACGTGCCAAAGTCTTTGTCTTGAACTTGAACAAAAAATAATAAATCATAAATAAGTATATAGCCTACTCGTGAATGTATTTCCTTGTTTGATGGAGTCAAATCTGTTGTCCAAGTCCGTTTTCAGGTGGAGAAATGTGGTATTAGCTTACGATTGTTACCTTTGAATATAACGTTGCCTTTGTTAATGATGTATATACATATCCATGATGCCATATTTATCAATTTGTAATTTAATTATCGGCGAAAGCGCCGACTTTTAAATGATATTTATGGAAATGTTTTCTAACAAGACTGTACAGTTTTGAGTCAATAACCAGTTTTAACGATGAAAAGGGAGTCAGTTCTAAAGTTCCCACGATACGATTGTATCTTTTTTTTTTTACCAATACATGTGTCTTATCTGGGTCTTAAAGTATTAATTATATTAATATTATGACATGACATGATCTATAGTTTCAAGTATGCATTTTCCAACGTAAGTTCATGTGAGGACCTGTATAAAAAGAAATAAAAAAAAAACGATTTTTCCCTTTAAATCACTGATGAATCAGCCACGTGAGCTTATTATCAAAATGACTTATTTTGTATTTTTTTATTTTCTTTACTCTTAGCATCAGAGTATAGACTACATCTCTAAGGTAGATCTATAAAGATCACTTAAAAATTCAAGAGGCCCACTGACCAGTGTTTTCATCGACACGCCACTTTTTGATCAGATACACCATGCAATAGCATAGCTCTCATTCGTGCATCAACTTTGAACTCGTGTGACAGTGTTAAAGACATTATATTCTTGGGTTTGAGGTACAGCCATTTGAATCAGTATGGTATTCCATTTTTGATGGTTCCAGAACTGTCTTTGTGGATGGAAATCTGTGTTTAATGTGTCAAAGAGGAGCAATGATCTGTCACAACAGTAATCTCAAAATAAAACTTTTTGTCTGTCAGTTTGCATTGCTTTAAATGTAGTTCTTCTGTGAATATAGCGTGTTGTTTGTTATGAGTACTGTGGTATAACATATAGAAAACTTTGATTACACATTTGCTTGTTTTATGTGAATAACTTTTCCAGATGTGGAACTGTATGTGTGAATGAAATTTAGTATTAAGATTACTAGAACTTTTTAAGGTGGAAAAGGGAGGGAAAATATGTGTTCAGTGACACCAAGAGTTACAGCGTTGTATTGTTACATATTTTTAAGAGACTAAAATTATGCATATGAATATATTGTGCTTATGAACATGATTTCAAACCACCAGCACTACTTTTGAAAACAAACGTAAAAAATACAGTACCTCGTAAGTAACGTGATATATAAATACGTTTATTTAAATAATTTAATGAATATATGTTTTATATACTATTTTCTATACGTTAAGTTAAAAGAAAGATTTATTTCAGCCACCTTCGATGTATCTTCAGCCCTGGTCTCATACAGATCTGATGTACAAATTGAGCTTGAATGTGATTCTGTGACATTTCTCGTGGAAATGGGTCACGCATCAAGTTATTCCTGAAAAGCACGTTTAACTGATGAACTGTGTCACTGTGCCATTTTCGAGGCAAATGATGTTACTTCAACATACCTATTAAAAATTCAGCAAAATCTTGTACTTTCTTTCGAGGTAGGGTTATTGTTTGTTGGTTTGTTTAACAAACTATTTATGACAAAATGTGAACAAGTTTTTGACTGGAATTAAAACAAATTCTGAAATGTCACAAATGAAGACCTCAGTTTTTCTTTTTCATTTCTTTCTTTTGCTATTTTCCTCTGGTTCTAACTGTGAACTTAAAGCATACGCCCTACTCCAGGCGTACGATGCAGCAACACACTTGAACTTGACAGTAAGATGCCGCCATCTTAGCATCCTGTTTCTTTGAGGGACGAAAAAGTTCAAAATTGTGTAGCGTTAACGGAGCTTAACAGCCGTATTAGCGCAAGATTATTTCAGGACTTGGGACCTTGGGGAGTACACATACAAGAACGCTGCTGAGTTTAAGTTTAAAAACTTTCTACCGAGATACGCTAAGCCATTCTCTCGATTTCAATTATGTAGGCTGGGTTTGGCAGACATTCATTCAGAACGTGTAGTAAAAACAAGAGAGACTGCACCAGTGGGCGACTGTATATTTTATCATCCCACTGCATTACACAGAGACTTATTATATATTTTAAATTAAATTATTGAAATATATTGCCTAACAGTGCATCACCAATTCAGACATTGCTGCAAAATTTAAAATAAATTATAGAAACAGTATGCAAAAATATATTTAATAGCCTTATATTTAAAAAAAAATAAATAAATAGCAATAATAAAACGAACCAGCTATTTAGAAACACGAATCAATAAATACGCGGTGAAAAGCAAAATATTTTTTCACTGAGTCAAGTTTACGATTTAAAGGCTATGTAGGCAAACATTATTTTTGGAGGACCTGCCTGGCTCTTTCCTCCTTCCTCGCTTGCTGTATTTTGGCCTAACCCCCAAGACTCCACCCTCATATCAAACCCACCCCACCTTCAAAAATAAACAGTTTTACAAATTCATTTAAACTGAATCTTTTCTGATTTCTGCGCAAGTGCAGTTTTTTCCATTTCACACATTTTTCTCCTCACGCTATCTGACATACGCGGTGACGTCACAACATGGCGCTGGCTGTTTTGCTGAGGCACCCCGACCTACCAGCTGAGCTTGACTAATGGGCACACTCGACTTTTTTCGTCCCGTCTAATTTTTTTTAAGCTGTCGTGAACAACAAACTATAGTAGCGTTAATACAAGAGAAGGCTTGGTCCTCGAACAATACCTGTCTTAAGAATGCCTGGCTGTTTATAACGAAGTCTGAAAAGGATTAGAAAACACTTCAGCATTGCAGTCACGTGGAAGGAGTTTGAAAAGTAGCGGTTGTTGGCTGGCTGAAGTAAAACGGCGAATTTCAGATCTGCTGTAAATTAAATGCTGGACAGGCAGATATGAGAAATGTGAGGTATGGTATTGGTTAATTAACCTGTAGTGAAAATGTTATCAAATAATCTGTAGTGAAAATGTTATCAAATAGGTTTACATACATTTTACTTAACCTATACATTAAAATACACGGTAACGTTAGAAGTATTCAAGTGTTTATGGGTTGGATGAGCGTTCTGGCTAATTCTAAATTAGGGTCCTTTCCCTAGTCCTCCCTGAAGCCACATTCAATCTCATAGCTTTGCTGGCTAAGCGGGGTGGCACTGTCTAAGAGGATAAACCGACACGAGCAGGTTCCAAACGGTTTTTGTCACGCAACTGCGTGCGCGATCATAAACTCAGGAGTTGCCTTGAACGTGGCGGGATGCTGTCAGCACTACATGTTACCGTGAGCTATTTTCCGAGTTATACTTTACTTTTTAAACATTAGAAACATCCAATAGGTCATCGCCACACATGTATAACACACTACAGCTCCGCGATGCAGACAAGAATTCAAACCCGTCAAACAAGTGAAGGCACTTTATAGGGGATCCTTTAGTAGTCAAGGTAAACTAATTCCGCTGTAACGTTAAAAACACAAAAAGTGCCGTAATATATTTAGGCTATTCGTTCCCCCATATTGTAAAAGAAAAAGATTGTAGACTAGAAGTTATGGCATTACTTGTAGATAAAATAATAATAAATAGCCTAATAAAGTAATATATACAATTTTGACTGTATAATGTATTTATACAGGGAAAAAATGCTGAATGTGAAAATCTCTAACTCCAAAGCTTATGTAGGCCTAGCTACAGTACGCTATAACATAAGTGAATTTGGCTGTATTTGTCTTTAATTCGCTATTTACCAAACAATACAAGAGTGATGTGGAAGGTAGAGACCATTTGCACGTCAATTAACCCTTTTCAGTGCGCTCTACCGATGCTTAGTCACCTGCAGGAAAAGCGATGAATATGCAAAGGTGCTCAATATGACTGTTAATCCAGGATGTGTCCGTTCAGAATCTACTTTGGATGTGCTGCAAAGCCCATTGTAATGTTAAAGCAAGGCAAATGGACCAGTCATTTACCTTGACAGTTCGTAAAGTTTGCGTTTAAATTGATTTGCCCATCACATTTCTACTAGAATTAACTAAGGGCTTTTTTTTTCTGGTACTTTAAATAAGACAAATTCGTAAAGTTTGCGTTTAAATTGATTTGCCCATCACATTTCTACTAGAATGAACTAAGGGCTTTTTTTTTCTGGTACTTTAAATAAGACAAGACGATTTTAACTGCCATAAGTCCAACAAGTGTCAACTGCTTTTTTTATTTATAAGCACGTCTGTAACTTGTTCCTTCCTCGTCAGTTTTGTTATGTGAGTGAACATTTTATCTCCAGTATCGCCATATTTGCAGCGAGTTGTTAGCACACAGATTCAGATGGAAAATAGCGTCTTAAAATTAAAATTAGCGTCATATTAACCGCTTTTGTCCGATATTTAAGACGATAGATAGATAGATAGATAGATAGATAGATAGATAGATAGATTTTTAGTTTAAACATTTTATTAACATGTACTGGAAATTACTTGCTTGCGAAAAAACGTGTAGATTAAAACACATAGAGGGATAATTATTATTTTTAATTTCAGTGAGCACAGGCCCATTTTAACAAGGAAGCATAAAGAAACATAATAACCTAATAAAAATGAACGTCATCAAAGTCGGCGCCTATGAAAACTGCTTAAGTTTGGAACGCCTTCACTGAAATGCATATCCATGCGATGAGAGCAGACGGTAATGCACAGGGGAAATTTAGGTGTAACACTTTATTA